AGTGTTTAGGTTTATACTTTGTGTGATTATACTTAACGCTCAAAATTCATACACACACATTTATTTTGATTTATCGTTTATTTTGATTTATCGCTATTTTGGATTATAGACTTAATTACACAATTTAATATCTTTCCTCAAGTATATAAATTTATTTTAAAGTGTTCCAAAACTTGTTTGGAATAGTTTTATTAAAATCAATGTAATGACCGTGAACTTTCGATACTAGTTAAAATAATTTTTAATATTTTAAGGTATTTAGTTATTATTTTTAAAAGAGTATTTATATTTTTCTTAATTTTCTAGAAATTTCTACAATTTAAAAGTTCAAATTTTATATTTATTTAAATAATTTTAATATTTATAAATTAATTTTGTGCAGTAAAAAAATTCTAGAATTAATCTGTTGTGTTATCGATACTATTACGCATTATTTTGAATAATATGTTATATTATTGTTACTATTACGTATTATTTTATATAATACATTGTATTATTATTATATATTATTTGTATAATTTGTTATATTATTTCTACTATTGCATATTATCGATTGTATTAGTACAACTGGTATATTTTATTATGCAGATAATTATCCCATAATTATTTCATTTTAAATGTAAGTAAATATATTTTTTATTAATTATTCTCGTTTAATTGTATAATATGTATATTATTATGATTATTGCGTATCAACTGTTGTATTAATATAACTGGTTCGTTTTAATTTGTAGATATTTATCCCGTAATTATTTGACTTTTTTAAATATAAATAATTAATTTCAATTAATTTTTTTTTTATTAGCTTTGATCCTACCTAAACATTAAACTAAATATATATAGTATATATATATATATATATATATATATAAGTAATATATAATATATATATATATATATATATATGATTATTATATATAGTATATATATCCCACATACTCTCTCCTGGTTCACAATTTTCTTTTACCGCAAGCCGCCACTCCATATATCTTCTCTGTCTCTCTCGTCGCTCTCTCCTCGACTCGTTCGCCGCGCCGTACACCCCACGGTCAACCCACTGTTCACCGCCCTGACCACTAACGCGCCCCGCGGTCAGCCCCGTCGATCGCCCCCACTCGCTCCGTCCTCCTTCTGCTCTCCCAGTCCGCCAGATCCGCACCCCTTCGCCTGCCACCCATCCCTGTTGGCCTCCTCCCTCATCACGCCTCGCCTCCTTCATCCCTCCTCTCTGCCCCGTCGGCACGTGCTCGAGCTACCGTCACCACCCTCTCTCCTCATCGTCGTGCTCAACCCCCGAGATCCGCTTCTCCGCTGTCGCGCCCCCATCTCCGACCACCCAAACCAACGCTGCCGGCCGCTTCAAGCCGCGCCGTCCCTCGCTGCTGTCCAACCCCTCACGCTCGCCAACCTCGCCGTGCGCTCCCTCCGACAGCCCCCCAGTTCCCTCTCTATCGCGTCGTACCGCCTACACTGCCGCTATCAGCTCTCCTCCGCCTAGACGCCAAAGCTAACAATCCCACGCCACGACCGCACCTGCACTGCCACTCCACCTCTCCTCAGCCCGTGCAGCCACAAACAGCAGCCTCCTCCGCCCTAAGCCGCGCTCTGAGCTCGCCGTGCCGCTTCCACACCGCCCACGCTCCGACTACCCGCTAAGATCTCGCCCATTGATACCCCAGGCCACCGGCGACCAGCGCAACAGCCGCCCCTCTCTCCCCCGCTGCCCCTTGCCGTTCTCGCGACAGCCAAATCCGACGAACCTCGCCCCACTTCAGATAGTCACGCCACACCCCTAGCTAACCGCGGCCTAACTCCCCCATGCCAGATCCGATACGCACCGTCGATGTTGAATCATTCGACGTACCCGAGGCAAGATCTTGCTCCTCAGTTAGTTATTTTTACATTTATTATCTATTAAATGGTTAGTTAAATATGATAATGTTGATAATATATATATTGTGATTATTTGACGTGGATTGTTGATGATTAGTATTAAATAGTATTTTAATAATAAGATAATTTTACTGTAATTATATCTAAGAATGAACGAACATGAAATGACGAGTTACGTGTTATAATTAGATTTTTGAGATATTATCGAAAAAGAAATAAAATAAATGTAATTTATAAATATATAAATGTTACTATTCATGTCAAATATATATATATATATATATATATATATATTAAAAAGATTATTTTAAAATGGTTATGATGAGAAATAATTTTTTAAAGAAATTATTTGGAAAAGGAATATTTTTTTGAATTAATTATGATAGTATAACTGATAATCGTAAAGCACGACATTTCATGTGTAAAACGACATCGGTTTCCAGTTTCCTTTTACCGTATTATTATGTTAGAGATTACTTAATTACGGATAACTTGCATGAAAAGTTTGGACACCCCAGTAGTGAGATATTAACAAGATTTGTTTATGTGTGTATTTATGTTGTTGTAGACACGGTTCATGCATTCCGTATTTGTTCGTAGTTACTATTCATGTCTTACGATCTTTATGTTAATATATTCGACATGCCATGATGTTTTTATATAGAATTAGTTTAATTTATTATCTCTTTATTGTGATTGAGAACCCTTAGTAGTTCATGATTTAGTGGCCTCATGTGTCATGAATAGACCTAGTGATATGTGTGCGTGTGTTGACTGAGTTTAGGTGGTGAACCAGAGTTTTAATAGGGATTGTGATCGTTGACTTAGAAAAATGAAAAGAGTTGGGATGAGAAAGTCTTGGTTCGCATGATCGAATGTGATTATTGATTTAACTTTCAGGCTCGCACTAGTGACCTGTTTAGTCCTGAGGTTGGTTTGTTGGACCAAGTGACCTGTTTCGCCACTTGAGTTCGTGACCTATTTCATCACCTGAGCTTTGCCTGAGTTCGAACCAGGCTGAGATTGGATTGCGTATAGTCCTCTAGCCGCCCGTTTCACGGGATTAGATGCGCGTAGGGGATGATGAACAGTCAGTCTTCCGATAATGCAAACTTGGATCTATTTAAGAGGTGGACCAGTCTTTCAGTAATAACAATATAGTTGTATGTTATCATGTTTAGTAGAGGATTACATCTTGATTTAGTAAATTTCTAGTTGTATGTACCATTGTCTTTCCTATTATTGTTATTACTGTCATAGCATGGGTCGTTCGACCACTTCATTTTTCTATGTGGGATCTTGCCGTGTGCCATTCACGCTGACGTACACCTGTTTTCTCTAGTGTGCGTCAGACTTAGGGGATGGACAAGTCTAGTTTGATGATGCAGCAGAGCCAGTGTGTGCCCAATCGGAGTATCTTTTTGAGGGAGTAGAAGAACAAACTGAAGCGTAGTGGTTTTCTTCTGTAGTAGTTGTGGAACATTAGAACTCTTTTGCCATATTTTTCTTAGTTTGATGATGAATTTCGTATTTTCTAGCAATACTTTTTTTTTATTATGGACTATGTATTTTTATATTCCTAGTTGGACCGTTTTTATAATAAAGGTATGCTTGACCCATATTTTTTTATGTCTAGGATGGTCTACTTTTGATGATATATCTATTTTTTTTATTTTGGGTTATTCTTATATTCTTGCTATTGTGATCGGGGACCTGTGACTGATATTCTTTTGCTTAACGCTTAGCGTATTAGATTGAGAAGAAAAGAAAAAAAAGAAAAAAATTTAGTGTATATTTCTCCTCAATCTAATACATCGCGGGCTTGTTCACGTTCCGATTCACGGGTATTTTGGAAAGCGAGGCGTGACAATTAAGTTTTGATGTTTTCGTATTTTTCAACCGGTTTGCAAAATAAATGAGTTTTTGCAAATAGAAAATGAAATTTAAGAAATTTTTTCTAACATGTTCAATATCATGTTTATAAACATTTACCAAATTTTTACTATTTTGGAGTTGATTTACTATGTTAAATTGATATTACAAAATCAAGTGTTTCGGTAGTTTTCAGAATCTGAAATATCTGTATTAAAACAGTAATTGCTCACAAATGGGAAGCGATATTTTGGAAATTCTTTCTCTAACATGCTTATCATCATGTTTACAAACATTTCCCGAACTTTTATGGTTTTTAGAGTTGATTTGCTATTTTTAATTTATTTTAGAAAGCTAGCAACGTAAAATTTCAAAAACTACCAAAATCTGCCAACGGTCACCTTATCGGTCGACCGATGACGTCATCAGTCGACTGACAAACGTTTTTCAGCCAACGGCTAGTTTTTGGCAGGTGTGATTTTTGCACTACAACAAAATATAACATTGCCGACGAAACAAAAACGTCGGCAAATGTTTAAAAAACGTCTGGAAAAATATTTCCCGACGCAAAATACAGCGTCGCTAACGCGTCGCCAAAAGTGCGTCAAGGAAAGTATTAGGCGATGCAAATACACTACGTCGCCAAAAGTACACTTTTAGTGACGCGACATGCGTCGGGAAAAGTACATCTTTTAGCGACGCATATTATTTTGCGTCGGCAAAAGCATGCTGATTTTTTCCATATGCGAAACGACGTCGGGAAATCTTGCATTTTTGGCGACGTACTTAACGTCGGCAAAGGGTAATGCGTCGGCAAAAGTATACTTTTAGCGACGCGGAAAGGAGCGTCGCTAAAAAGCTTATCTTTGGCGACGCATGATTTGCGTCGGCAAAAGTGTAGCTTTTAGCGACGCTCTATTCTGCGTCGCTAAAAGCTACACTTTTGCCGACGTAAACCATGCGTCGCCAAAGATTAGCTTTTTAGCGACGCTCCATTCTGCGTCGCTAAAAGTGTATTTTTGTCGACGCAAGATTGCGTCACTAAAAGATATTACTTTTGGTGACATAATATGTCGTCGGCAAAAGTGTTACATTTAGCGACTAAATATAGCGTCGGCAAAAGCGTTACTTTTACTAACGCTTATCGACACTAATTTGCATCGCCAAAAATAATATATTCTCTGTCAAATACAAACCTACACCGAATCTGAACATCCACAAAAAATTTGATCCCATTCACATCAACATAAAAGTCTATTTTTCCATTTCCCCTTGAGCGCTAAAAGCGTTAATTTACAAACTTCCTCTTGCATACCCAAGTACATAAAGTCTCTCAAAAACAGATTACAACAAGAAAACTAGAAACAACAATATCAAATTTGTATCATTAATTACAAAGAACAAATGGATTTGAGGAAGAACATGGCCCAGTTTAGATAGTGCATCTGCAACAGTGTTTGTCTCTCGCATACAGTGTAGGACAGGAACTTCTTGGTAGGAATGTTCAGCAAAACCAATAACAGCAAGACAGTCTCCCGGAAAGCATTTCCCCGTCTAGGCCATAGGAAACAAATCCAGAACAACAACATCCAGAGAAATGTACTGAATAGAGCAAATTCTACATACCCGAGTGTAACTGATTCTCCCCACCAAGCTGAGCAAAACATGCTACTCTGGCAAACATTAGCCGAATTCCATGATTCATTGCACAGATAAAAAGAACATTCAAATAGTGATTCAATTTTTGGATTATAGATTTATGGAGGATATTTGGCTGTGAACTAGAAAGATAAAAAGAACATTAAGTATGTATTTGAAACACTTCTGATGCCAAATGTCTTCAAACCTGTATGAGTTACACTTCTGATGTTAAAGGTGGAAAAAACATTCAAAATAGTCCCCTAAAGATAAAAAACCTATAAGACAATGTCAATGGAGTTAATGGGATCAAAGAACTGGAATGTATATCATAGTATGGTTAGGGGAGTGGAAAGGACTATGAAAAGCTCTAGTCGTCAGACTTTAGATGCTTCAGTTTAAATGATGCCCAAGCTATTAGCTATAAAAGTTTGTGCATTATGCAGTGAAGAGCTTCCTAATTATTTTTGTTTTTCCAGAAAATTGGATGAACAAGATAGATCTAGCCAGATTGTCGTTTCATTAAGGTTGAAAATGAAATAGAATATCATCCAAAAAGAGTCAAAATGTACAGGCTCAATATCTATACAACAAGTAATTGCTAGCATTAAAAAGTAAGGTGAAGCTCATCATCAAAGCCCTAAGATGCTAGTCTTACCATTGAGGAGCTAGGAACTTACAATTAACTTGTTACGGAAAGCTGAATACATTTGTTGTCTTTTTAAAATTTTACGCTCCTTTTTCTCATACATGACTCTGAGATCGTCAATGGATTCGTCATATTTGGAAAGAAAATTCAAATAAAGTTAACTACTATAAATGTACCCTCCTATCAGCAATATCGTTCAGCTGTGTCCAACCTCATGTTTTCACGCTGAAGCCTCTGTTTCAATCTGTTTATCTTGGCACTAAAATGCTCTGGAGTATTACTAGCATAACCCCCTAAAGCCTCCACCTCGCACTCAGGACAGATAATTGAAGCCTTATCAAAGTTCTCCTGCACTTATATATGAAATAGTTATTATATGGATTCAAATAATCGAATATAATTATCCAAAAATTGCTATTAACAACCAAACCAAATGAAATCAAAGAATAAAAGATAATGTCTTTTCTCCTGAATTATGGGTGAATATTAAAGAACTAAGGTTTCAACAAAGTCAATGGAACCTAACTTTTCCCATTCAATTTTATAAACTGATATTATTGTCATTGGTTGTAATACAACCCTTGAACAGAGGTTTGGGACCATAATATTCCTTGCTAAGAACAATTTCTAATTGATTTAAACATATTTTATCCGCAAGACTACAAATTAGGACTTGGCACCTGATTTTACTTGTTATGTCTGTATAATTGCTTAATTCATGTTATAGAACTAGATGCGTGTAGATCATTAGATAACACTTTGAGATCAGATGAAAAAGCCACCAGCTTGAGAACAAGAAATGAAAAATGTTTCACTTGTAATATCTAAAAGACTGTGATCAGTTAAGTTTCACTAGTTGGATTGACTGAAACTTATTCAGCTTAACCCGAACCCAGGCTTCCAAGGGTGGACCCATCTATATCAAACTCGTGTCAAGCGCTAGGCATGTGAGTTGCTTTTGGGTGTGGAGCCTTTGGGTGTGAAGCCCTCCTCTGTCTGTAATTTTATTATCCTTATTCTTTTGTTTATCCAAAATCATCCACTGTTCATTCCTACTCAGTTTCCTGCAGCTATCAAACAGCCCCCAATTACCATGGCTAAATAACTTCAAAATCTTGAGCGAAAAATCATGATATAGGATGAGAACAAGGCAAAACATCAATCATACAAATGTGGTTAGATTTGGTCTTCACAATGTTCAAAAATTTCATATATCAAATACCAGTCCACAAAACATGAAAGTATCTAATTGTTCTAGCATATTCTAAGGATGTTTCCATCTAAATAATAGTAATTCCTTTCTTATATCACACTAAATCAATACATTACCAACACAATGAATCAAAACCATCCCCACAGTTAACATAATTCATGCTGCCCTGAAGCTTGGTTTTTTGTGCTGTTGGTGGCTAAACACATTTGTCAATGCAAAAATATAAAGAGAGAACCAAAGGAAAGAGCATGGAAGAGACTGTGAGGGGAAAGGGTTAATTGGAAATTCTGTTTCAAATAAACCAAGTCCACTTCATTGTTCATTTAAGACAGAACATACACTTCACACCTTAGCCTTTGAATGGGCAACAATATAGAACCTGAGCCAAACTTCCTAAGCTATCTTTAGATGTAAAAAAAGTTCTCTTCCATGCTAAATATTGGAATAAGACTTCTGGTTTTATCCAAAAATGTGGTGAAATTTACAGCCTTTTCTTTTGTCTATATGGAAATTTCTTCCCTTTAGTTCGATATATAAATCCCAATGGATATTTCCTTGTGATTTTTGGTCCTATACAGATCTGTTACCAATGGATCATACCTTAAATGATTGTTCTCCTTTATCTCTTTATATTCAGCTCAATTGGGTGACTTATTTATTACTCCTAAAGATATCTGTTGGATTCGAAAAAGCACAGACACAAACATAGGCATGTTGATACATACAGGATACACTGAGATATCAAAACAGGTACATAGGAAAGAACGTCTATAGCTATAAGTGTCAAGTCTGCTTCGTGTATCCGAGCTGCACAACTTCATGTCGAAATGGTCATACTTTGTCCATATTCATCGATAACAACCCAAAGTTGTCTGAAATTTTTCGAGATCTAACTCTTTGCACATTCCATCCCTCCAAAAGCTAGAATTAGAAGTAAAATACTAATTTCTAAACAAGAATCTTAATAGATAACCTATTAAATCTAAAGTGTCATCAACTAAAATGTTTTCCTTGTCCTTCAAATTTCTCATTATCTTAAATATCTACTTTTATGCCTACAAATTCTCACTGTGTTTGTGAAACCTTTACAAGGAGACAAAAAATGATGTGGATGTTAATGGTTTATGGAGCCTATCATTTCAATGAAGTACTTTGATCACAAAAATTCACAATGAGAATTATATCGAAGGTTTATATATTGTATCCTTTTCAATTGCATTTGTATTTGCATGTACCCAGAAGTAACTAGAAATAACACAAGATGCTAACATCCTTAGAATATGCACAACTTCAGTTTCTTAATAGGGGTTCTCTGGCTAGAGCATAAGTAAGTGAATCAAATACTCTAATAAGGTAAGATGTGTATAATTAAAGAATCAACCCATGAGATGAAGTTAAAAACTTACTTGTTTCCTCAAATATTTCGTAGACAATAAAAGCACAGATTCAAGAATCATGCCCCAATAGAAACCCTAGGGTTACAACTCAAAGCAAATGAAAACTAATAAGATACCAAAAAAAATAGGGCAAATTCAGTACCTTGAAATGTTCCTGCAACTCGATCTCATGATCCTCCTCGTTGAGCGGGAGGAGGATGAGGAGAGGCGGCGAGATCCGACGGAGGCGGCGGTGAACTTCGACGAAGGCGGCGATGAACTCAGGGCCGTACCTAGGAATTTTGGGGCCCAAAGCGAAATATTAGATGAGACCTAAATGATACAACTCATAATAGATTTTATCTCATTCTTCTTACCATTTGAGCTGCAAAATTAATTAAAGTTTTATATTCAATATTTTCTAACATATTATTAGGTAAAATGACGTTCTAAAAGTTATATCGAAGGTGAGTTTTCTTTCCTTCAAATAAAGGAAGGGGATGAAAAGTAAGAATTAGTGAATTTCATATCTGTATGTATTGGTCGTATTCGAAATTACATAGACCAACAAAGATGAAACCAAATTTATGATTCAATTTGATTCTAGCACATAACATTAAATAAGATATTTCTCTAGGAAAACATCATAAGATATTGACACATTATGTGAGTACCTTGATTAGTTTGTTCCTTGCTGCTTGACCAACCTCTATATGTTTTCTTAATTCCGACACAGTCATGTTCACTGTAGCTGCCAATTCGCCTTCTGTTGGCTCCTTATTTAAATCTTTATGTAAGTTCTCCTTCACCTCAGATATTGCCTGGAATATAGAAAATCATGAGAGACTAATCAGCCACATTAAAAGCGGAAGAGTTCATCAGCATGAGATTGTTCATCTTGTGACATAACAAACATTGAAATCCATTACAAGTATAATGATACTACTCTAAAAGCAAGAAACATAATTAGGATAAACTGTGTGGTGTACACGCCTGGGCTATATATACATATCGATAACCCTTCGAACAACAGAACCTAAAATTTTGAATTATCCATATGTTTAAATTACAGTAATTTGCACTATCAAAGATTTGAACTATAACTAGAATATTTCTTAGGATTTATTCACGAATAACAGAAAACATTGTAAATTTGAACCACAACAATTACATTACAGCCAATCTTACCAAATACTCATAAAAATATTTCACTACATATTCATGGAATGCTAAAGATAATAAAAATGTGATAAATATATTGCTTATTAGTTGAAATTAGGAGTTGTTCAGTTAAGAGAATCTGACCATTAACCATTCAAAAAATTGTCTGCTCAAAATATGCTTCATCTTGGTCACAAGAATCAAATAATAGGACTCCAGAAACTTAATACAACCTAACAAAAAACCACAAACATCACCAAATTCGTCAATATTTCGTCAATTAAAAAAATTAGAGAAACTCTAAGAATCGAGTACCGGCGATGCCGTAGACTTTTCCGCCAGAGATGAGGCCGCTGGGCATGCTGTGGGAGTCTAGGAGTGGGATTGTGGGAGGCCGGGTCCTGGGAGCGGGCTGCGGACTGCGGAGGTGGGCCAGGTGGCTAGCGGTGAGAGAAGCGGGACTCAAACTCGGCTGTCCGCTGTCGGTGTCGGGAGTAGGAAGAGGACTAGAGGGAGGAGTAGGAACGAAGAGGAGCTTAGGGAGAGTCGCTGGGAGCTGCGGTCCTGGCCGTCGGAGAGACCCGGAGTAGGAATGGCCGACTGGGAGTTCAGAGCTGCGGTCCTGGCCTGCGGATGATGAATTGAGATTTGAGTCTGAGAGAGGAGGAGGCGGCGGGAGTGGGAAACTGGAGACAAAATAGGGTTAGGACTTAGGAACTTAGGGTTTAGCTTAAGTTATGGGTGGGTGGGCCTTTCCCAACATGAGGCCCAAGGCAGAGACCTTAGCTGCCTTATGCTATGGCCGGCATCATGAACTCCGACGGAGGCGGCGATCTCTGACGATGGCGGCGGTGAGCTTCGACGAAGGCGGCGAACTTCAGATCAGAGAAAATAAATGGGGAGAATTTTCTGATGAGAGAGAGAACGGGGGTGGGGTTTTTTAGCTCTTCGTGGAAATAAATGGGGGGAATTTTCCCTCCTTTGTACGAGTGGGGAAAATTTGGGGTGGGGGTGGGTGTTTGGCGACGCTGATAAATAAAGAAGCGTCGTAAAAAATGTAACCTTTAGCGACGCAAGGAGGAACGTTGGGAAAAGAATACTTTTAGCGACGTTAGCCTAATACGTCGCGATAAATGTACACTATTAGCGCCGCTAATCCTAAAACGTCGCTAAAAAGCTATACTTTTGCCGACGAAAATGAAAAAACGTTGGGAAATCCATAACTTTTACCGACGCTAAGTTAAAACGTCGCTAAAAATATACACTTTTAGCGACGCTAATTATAAACGTCGGGAAATATATATTTTTTGCCGACGCTAACTAAAAGCGTCGGGAAAAACATAATTTTTGGCGACGTTTTTAACCATGCGTCGGGAATAAGCGTTGGGAAAAGTGCAATTTGTTGTAGTGAATTGGGGCTATATATACCCCTTTTGCCTTGGTCATTTTTAAGGTTTTTCACACAAGTTTTGGGCTGTTTTCTCTGAGTTTTCAAGAAAGTTTGATAGTGTTTTATGTGAAGAAAGTTTCACAAGAGAAGGATCGAAATTTTATTTTGAGGAATTCAACCTTAAGCTCTACATCTCTTGTTCATCATTGTTGAAGTTTTTCTAAACTCCCTTCTTTTAGCTTATCATATCATTTTGTTTCTCATTTATTTATGCTAGATTGAATTGAGTTTAATTATTATCATTACTTATTATTTACACACACCCTTTGAGCTTTAATATTTCATATATTGTATTTTTTGGGTTATGAGTGATTTATTGAGTGTGAGCTTCAATTCATTCTCATTTATTGTAGAGAACAAAAATCTTTACTTGAGCTTATCATTATGAGAACATGTTGTAATACACAAGGACACCGAGAGAAGTGGTTGGTGAGAGACTGGGTCAATTCCAAGAGGAGTGACGTCGGTTATAAATCCAAGGGAGAGGTCGTAATTCCAAGCACTTCAGGAAGGTGACACGGGCTAGGCCAACACTTAGAGGGTGTTTTGTTTGATTGCAAGTATGTGAGTTGTAAATGTTTGTCGGTGAACGTTGAAAACCGATTGTGTAGATTAATTTGAGATAGTGGAGATTCTCCTCGAGAGTGAGGAGCGGAGACGTAGACCGAACTTTGTGATCAATTTCGTTGTGTTTGCGTTTGTTGCTCTTATTGTTCATATCTTATATCGCCTACTATCTCATTGCATATTCTTGCTTGTATATCTTGTTGTATATCATAATTAATAGGATATTGGTAATAAGTTTAATTTGGTATTAATCGGATTAGATTAGCAAATACCCTATTCACCCCCTCTAAGGTACTTTCAAGTTTGACCATTCCTACACATATATTATAACATTATTTTATATTATATGAAACATATAATATAAAAGATAGTGTTCATATAATATATTAAACAAATTGATAACTTATTATATTAATTAATTTCTAAAATATAATATTAATCTATATATTATATTATAATAAGATAATATGTTATTATAAGTTATTTATTATTATAGTTAATATATCAAAGTTAAATATATATTAACTATAATATATTATAGTTAACTTAGTTATTATTATAGTTAATATATTAAAGTATAACATATTATATTACAATAAATATACATTAATATTACTAATTACGTAAACTACAATATAATATTTGATAATATAATATATTAGAATATAATAATTATTAGAATATAATGATAATATACAATATATTATGTTAAGAATAGAATATATTAATTTTTATATTATATTATCATATGTTTATTATAATATAACCTATTATATATAATAAATTAAATTAACAATTGAATTATTATAAGATATTATATTTTAATAATATAATACAATGAAATATATTAAAGTATGTCATATGATTATCATAATAGATGTATATTATATTAATTAATAGTATTATATACTATTAATATATTACACCACTTGTAATATATAATATTACATAAAATTGTTTACTTACAATATAATATATTATAGTATTAGATTCTATATATAGTATAATATAGTATAATATATTCAACGAATTACTAAAAATATAGTAGTTATCATATAATATCTTATATCATGATTTTATTTATTAATTATAAGTATTAATATATTTTTAGTATATCATAGTAATTATAATAAAACATATTATGATGATAAATGTATATATTATAATATAATAAATCAAAATACTAAATTTTATACAATAATATATTGTATTATATTTAATTAATATGTAAATTATAGTAATTATCATATACTATTTATATTACAATATTAAGTAATTAATAGTATTAATATTTTTAGTATATCATAGTAATTTAAAAAACATATTATATTTAATATAATATTTTTCTTATAATATAATATCATATAGTACAAATATTGTGTCTTCTAATATATTTTTTTGATCCCCATATTCTAGTATTCTAATATATAATAGCAAGCATTATTAATATATTATATATGAGGTGTTTGGAGATAAGTGTTTTATTTTACCCTTTGCCCACAAGCGTTTTGGTTTTTCCATGAAAACACCACTGTTTTCAAATTCTTGGTGTTTTTGTTTTGGTAAAATTGAAACAAAGGAAACACCATGGTTGCTCTGTTTGGTTGGTTAAAAAAAAGAAATCTATTATGGGAAACATATTTCTTATAATAGGTTTTTCTTTGTTTGGTTCACCTCCTAAAAGTAAAAAAAGAGAAGAGATGAGATGAGTTGTAAAGAAAAGAGAAGAGATGAGATGAGTTGTCATTATTTTATTAGAGTATATGACACAATTTTAAGAAAAACCCATTTCATGAAACTTTTTGAGGAAATAGGTGAAATAAAAGTTTTAGTGATACCCTTGTCATATTTCTTTTTCTTTGATTCTAGGAAATCAACCAAACAGCCTCTGAACAGACACTAAAAAACTTTATATATTTCCTCGATTTTTGACTTTGTAATAAATCCAGAATACAAAGTCAATTGCCAAACAGCCTGATATTGTTGGCAACCGCGTGGGAACCGCAAACCCAGAAAATTTTGTTAGTCAAAGGCCCATCTATCAAAACCCTAATTAGGTCAAAGTCCATTAACTAGTTATGGCCCATTTACACCGAACACTAACCTCAAGCAGGGGACTTTAATTTCAATCAAATCACGTGGCCTGTCAACTCCTCATCATTTCGGGTGGTAGGTTTGCCTCAGAAGAAAATAAAATCCAACAAAGCCTTCATCAAAAGCAGCGCACGGCTCTCAAAGCGGTGTCTCTTGCGCTCCAGCGCCATAACAACCCCGACTTGGCCAATCAAATTTCTTGTCTCCACTACTAATCCTAATTAGCGCCAACTGTTCCCATTTTAGTATAAATAAGAACAATAATTAAATTAGATTAAGTCACGTAGAAAGAGAGAGAGGCTCAGAGAAATTGACCGTGGTCCGCTGAAAACGACGACTCTGGAGAGAGAAAGTAGAGGGCGGCATAAAAAGCAGCTCGCTCTCTCCCGCGCCTCCCCCTCAAACGAAGAGAGAGAAAGCGGGCGATATAATCAAGACCCTCGTTTCTTTTGGTCAAAACCCTAGCTCCAAGGACTCAGAGGTTCGTACTCTCGATTATAGTCTTTGTGCATTCTTTAGTCGCTTCTCGATTCGCGCGCATGAGATTGCTAGATTTAGATCGTTTTTTATTGCCGCCACAGCGATCCGATCCTAAATCGCGAGCTCGATTACTGTTTATTTTCAATTTTTTCGAGTTTCTGAGCGATCAAGCTCTGATCGGAGTAGAAATGCTATGTAGATGGCTTTACTTCGATGGATTCTTAGGGTTTTGGTCAAGATAAATGCTGTTTTTATTTTACTTTCTTGGATCGGATTCCGATCGTTTTGTTTGTCGTCGGTTGATGACGATTGCAGCGTTTTGACTGATGCTAGGTTTTTGATATCAGGAAGTGGAGTTTGGATCAAATGGATCAGGTGAGCGGCCATGGACTTTTCTTTTCTCTTTTTTTTGTTTGCGCAAAAGTATGGTATTCTAGAGGTAATGTGGATGATTTTTTTTTTTTTTTGTATTAGTATGAGAAAGTGGAGAAGATTGGGGAAGGGACTTATGGTGTTGTGTACAAAGCTCGAGATCGTCTCACAAATGATACAATAGCACTGAAGAAGATAAGATTGGAGCAACAAGATGAGGGTGTCCCGAGTACCGCTATTAGAGAGATCTCACTGCTTAAGGAAATGCAGCATGACAACATAGTCAGGTATCTATCTGTCGATTTCTCGATCTCTTTCTTTTTTAGTACATGTTCTACGTTTTGTTCTTACTAATGCTATAAAGTGATAAACGAGGATCTGTAGGATTATATATCTTTATCATGCTATATTGGAGTTTGTTCATTTGCTCTTCTTTATTGCATCTACTGCTGAATAACAATGTGAAAGGTAGATGAAGCTGTTGGCTTGGCATGCCCTATAGTCATAAGAGCAATGGTGCCCACTGGACGTAGTTTCTGCATTTGAATTATGTTGCACTCTAACTTAATGTCTTGATAGTAACATTTTGATGCTACTTGCATTGCTTATTTGTTTGTTTCACAGTAAATTGACCAAGTATTGGCAATCTTGGCTGGATGGAGTTAACATTGATCTATTGTTACTGTTGTGGCTTATTTCAGCTGGTGCTTCATTTCGTTATTGTGTGCACCCGCAAAATGAAACGTGCTATTTTAGTGTAAAATAAGCATCCTTTGCTTGCCCGCCCTGAAATTATTGAACAGGAAATATTCTTCTTCCATGTCTAGAATTTGGTAGTTGAACGTGCAAGTAGTGGATTGACCTGAATATCTTCTCCTAAGTCGTTGCGTTTCTGTTTCAGTAGATCAGTAATGTTTATGAAGAACTGTGACAAACATGTGTAGGGCAGGTTATCATGGTACATGACGTGTGATGCAACAATGAGCTATTTGTGGCATCTATCAAAGATAAAACCATAACCAATATCTGATCTGTAAAGCACAATAAAGCTCGTAGAGAAGGTCTGTTGGTAGGTCCAATTCGTACCAAAAATATTGAATGATTTTGAAAAAGTTTGCAGTTGCCTGAACATGCATTCGATGAAGATAAGATGTAGATATAAAATTGAAGGTAGGGTTTTAATGTAAATATTTATACCTATTTTGAAAGTGTTAAACGACTTCTCGGTGATATTCTTCAAAAAGTGTTTCCTTGAGGGCTAGCCACTTCAATAATGTCTGTGGTTCATAGGTGGGGTCACATAGTATTAAGCATGTCTTGCTGCATCATGGACATGTTTAATATTTTCTTTTGGTTTTCTTGATGGTAACATTTTCATCGCCTCCATCCTCCTAATTATATACCTCATTAAGTAGTGGTTAATGCCATCATGGCACAACCCTCTTCTTAACTATACAACGTAAGGGTGTAGTTTTATGACCTCAACGTATATTGGAAGTTCTTTCATGATATCCACTATTTTTAAAGATATATAAGGATGTCCTAAGACTAACCTTTGAAATGCTTGATATACTTTTAAGATATCTTTCTCTGGTAGTCTTTATATCCATGCTTAGCAGGTGCGAATTGTTTGAGACCTAGTTAGTTAGGTGAAGGGTCAATTCTTGTATATAGAAAGAAATGCTGACATATCTCCCATATTCTATATACTTTCTATTTGCTCTCTGGCCCAATTTGTTCATCAGTCAAGTCAATGCGAATTGCTGTACACACAAGTATATATTTGCTTGCCGTTATGTTGAAATTTTCCAACACCATTGTATATGACACAGCTACTTGTATTCATCACTTTTCTTGATTGCCTTGATGTGGAAACAATACAAAGTGTGATATAAACTGGAAGACTTATTTCCATCCAGCTTCATTGTCTCATCCATAAGATGTAAAGTTTACTTAAACGGTTCATGTTATTAGGTTTGCCGAGTATGTGAAGGCAATTGCAAAGCATATAAATCCGAGACAAACCCTTGGGATATGGTGTTCTGGTCTCCATATAATATGTGATGTACAATTATTCATCCTCATGTTAAGAGTTTTCTTTATAAGGCCTTTGATCCTTTATGATTTAGATGACACATCCATTGTGTTTTCATAACCATGTCAGTGTCATAATTATATTCTAAAACTTGTTTCATTCAGTGTTTTTAAGGGCATATTCAGGTGCGTGCCTTGGGCGCGAGGCGCTTCGACGTAGTGATGTAGCGCCCCACAGCAGGTGTGGGGCGCTACGCTTGCGTCGAGCGCGCGCTTGGGGAGCGCGTCGTAGCGCCTGCCGCCTTCGGCAAGGCGTGCGCCTCAGTAACAGGGCAGAATCCCAATTTTATTCAGTGGGTTATTGGGTACAAATCCGCTTCCCACTTAAACCCGAAACCAAAAAGAGATGTTAGGGTTCTGCCGCTTCCTTCTTCCACTTTTTCTCTCATTTTCTCCTTGCAGTCTTCACTTGGCAACAGCAAGCAGTAAAGACGAGCGGTGAAGGGCGATGGCGAGCTGCAATCGACGATGAAGTGGTGCAATCGGTGATGGCGAGCGGCAATCGGCAGACGGCGAGCAGCAGATACGTTCTTCTTCTCCTTTCTCTTTGTTTTCTTTTATTTTCCTTTTTTTTCTCCTTACCGATGTTTTTCTGGTCCTTCTTTTCTTTTCTTTTTTCGTTTTGTGTTCTCTCTTCACCCTTCTTGCTGATATTCCCTGTCCATTTGCAACTAAACTTAAAATCTGAGTTTTTAGTTGTTGTCTGTTAAGTATAAACTGTTAAGAGTGAGTTGTTATTTTTTTGTCCTTAATTAAGTTATTGATTGTTAATTGTTAACAGAGAGATTGCTGAGATATTTCTTGAGTCTTGACTGTTAATTGTTAAGAGAGAATGGAACTTGATGAATTAGTTATAGACTTATAGTATCTTCACTCTTTCAAGCTTCACTGTATCAGTTCTTAATTAAGTTCACTATTCTAAACTTGATTTGATTTTATTGTTAACTAACTTACAAAGAGAGATTTAATGTTAACTAACTTGCTCTTCCTTGATGTTAGTTCTTAATTAAATTTTTTTTATTAATATCGCTCTTGACTGTTAACTATTTTTTCTTTGGTTTAATATTAATATGCAGAGTCATGATATTATGAACTGATTGCTTGCTTCTTATTAATACATATTAGTTATAATTGTTGAAATTATTCAAGCTTATTGGTGTAGTACTAGTGCTACTATTTGATTTCCTGTGTAAGACTGCGAGTGTTGATTCTTGCTATTTGATGCTAGGTGTAGTGCTACTAGTTGATTCGCCATTTGTAACCTATAAAGAGGAAAATAAAATTTAGCAATATAGTTGTTAGTGATGCACTAGTTGATTCGCCATTTGTAACCTATAAAGAGGAAAATAAAATTTAGCAATATAGTTGTTAGTGATGCAATATACTAGTATGAAAGTTTGAATAATAAAATTTAGCAATATAGTTGTTAGTGATGCAATATACTAGTATGAAAGTTTGAATAATTTGCATGATTAAATGAAAATTAACGTACAAGTTTAATTCATTAAATCTATATACTATATTATTTGTAAATATATGAATTTTGTTGCATAATGCATATATGTGTTTTGGTATAGATATGTCTTCATCAGCGGGTGGTGCTAGAAGATAAAATCCTACATGGAAATATACTTCATTAGTTGATGATGCGAATGCAAATAGACACAAGTGCATATTTTGTAACTAGATCACAAATGGCGGCATATCCCAATAAAAAGATCATCTAATTGGGACGGATAGGAAACCCCAAAAATGTGAGGTTTTGTCAAAAAGTCCCTTCCGATGTGGTTGAAGAGCTAAATGATTATGAAGAAAGACAAAAAATAGCTAAAAGACAACAAGCTATAGTTGATTATCTCCCTAATCTTGGAGATGAGAACATGGTGGAGATCGATGATGAGGAGCTTGAAGATGAGCAAATACAAGAATCTAGAGATAGAGCAAGAGGCTCGACGATTCTTAGGTCATCTTCGGTAACGGCAAGAGGAACGGTGAGTGTTGGCTTGCACATTGTGGGATTTTCCACATGCCCAAAGAGGAAGGGGTCGATGGATGCATTTCTTACATTTGATCCCGCTCTAGAGGTCGCCAAGGATGAAAGAAGGCGCAAGTTAAGGTAAACGTGTATTGAAGAAAGCCTCAACAAAGATGCAGTGGCTAAAGTGCATCAAGACATAACTCGATGGTGGTATCAAGCCGGCATTCCCTTTAATGCGGCTTGTCTTAGGTCTTTCAAAATCATGTTAAAGTTTGTGGTGGCTTTTGGGCTTAACTTGCCTCCGACATTACACCATTTGAGAAAGCCTTCGCTTAAAAAGGGGGAAAAATACACCAATGATCTGATACAACCTCATAAGGAGGTGTGAGATATCAAAAGTTATTCTTTCATGTCAGATGATTGGAGTGACAGAAATGGGAGGACATTGATCAACTTTCTTATGTACTCTCTTCATGGTACGGTGTTTCATTCCTATATTGATGCTTCTGATGAGATCAAGACGGGTGACCGAATGTTTGAGATACTTAGTGAGCAGATTAAGCTCATAGGACCTTAGAATGTTGTTCATATCATCACAGATAACCATTCTAGTCTTAAATATGCAGGTAAAATTTAAGCAATTGATTTTATTTTGGTTATGAATCCTTTGCTATGTTAGGATGCTTTGATATTGATCTTTTTCATTTTTTTTGTTATAGGAGCGAAATTGGAAAAAGAGTATCCACATTTATTTGTACTCCATGTGCTACTCACTGTATTAATCTTATGCTCAAGGATATTGGTAAACTATCATTTGTGAAGCTAACCTTGAGTCGAGCTATAGAGTTGATGGGATTCATCTACTCACATGCGTGGGTTTTGAAGCTGATGAGAGGTGAAGCTAACGACGGAGAGCTTCTTAGACCGGTTGTGACACGATTTGCCACGTCATTTATGACTTTGTCAAGCATCAATTGACAGAAAAAATAATCTCAGAAAGATGTTTAATTTGGAGAAATAAAGACAAAATAAGTGGGCAAGAGATTCAAATGGCAAATCAGCTGAAAAGATAGTTCGTATGCCATCTTTCTAGAATAACATCGTTCGTATTCTCAAGCTCACGGCTCCTCTCGTTGGTGTTCTGAAACTTGTTGATGGTGACAAGAAGCCTGCTATGGGATACATTTATGAGGCGATGGATAGAGCAAAGGAGGT